TTTGTTCAGCAGCGGCGCGTCGCCATAGCCTCCATGCATCTCTGCGCATATCCGGAGTCACTTCTTATTTTCAATTTTTATTCTTTTGGACCGTGTGCATTACAACTCAGTTGGTTTGGTTACTTATTCTGTGACAATGTAGGTATTCACTAGTAATTAAAGGCTTAAACCGAATGGCATTGCTGGCAACTGATACTCTCTCTCCTAGCGCCAGTAGTTGTCGTTCGTCTTATCTTCGTCAGCGTTGTTTAGCTGCTGCGAGTCATTGTAGGCTCCATGCATCTCTGAGCATATCCGAAGCTTGGGAAGAGCCACTCTTCATTTATCCAACCTTCATTCGCTTGGACTGTGTGCATCACAAACATTTGCTGTGTGGAGTTATTTGGCGACAAGTACGTACCCACTAGTAAGTAAAGGCCTTAACCGTATGTCATTGTTGGCCACTGATACCTTCTCTTTTAGCGCCATTTTCTGCTGTTCGTCTTTTTTAGCGGTAGCTAGTCGTCGTAGGCTCCATGCATCTCTGCACAAATCTGGAGCTTGGGAAGAGCCACTCCTTGTCTCTCCAACCTTTAATCTCTTGGAATGTCTATCAATAATCTTCGCTCGTTTGTTGATTTATTCTTTGACACTGTAGGTATCCACCAGTAACTAGAAGGCTTAACATAAATGCCATTGCCGGCAACTGATACTCTCTCTCCTAGCGCCATTATCTGTCATTCGTCTTATCTTCCTCATTGCTGTTTACCTGCAGCAAATCATGGTATGTTCCATTAATCTCTGCGCCAGGAGCAAGTCCTTATCTCTGCAACATTTATTCTCTTGAACTGTCTGCATCACATACCTTTGCTGTGTTTATTTATCTTGCGACACTGTAGATATCCACTAATAACTACAAGACTTAATCTAAATGGTATTGCTGGCCACTGATACGCTCGCTCCTAGCGCCATTATCTGTCGTTCGTCATAACTTCGTCACCCCGTTTAGCTGCAGCGAGTCACTATAAGTTCCATTCATATCTGCGCTAGGAATTACTCCTTATCTCTCTAAAGTCCATTATTTTGGAATGTTTACATCATATACGTTTGCTGATTTGTTGTTTTATTCTGTGACATTGTAGGTATCCACTAGTGACCAAACGTTTTCATTGAATGGCTACATTTTGCCATCGACGTTCTCTCCCAGCGTCGTCAACTGTGGTTTGTCTCACATTTAACACTGTTTAATAGCAGCGAGTGGTCGTACGCTCCACGCAGCTCTGCGCATATCTTGAGCTTGCTAGGAGCCACTCCTGGTTTCTAACCTTTAGTCTCTTGAAATGTCTGTATCACTCACCTTCGCTGTTTTGTTGACTTTCTCTGCGACACTGCATGCATCGAGTGGTTACAAATGGCCACTGAGAACCTGTTCAACAACGCCTTTATCCTTTGTTTGTCTCACCTTCAACACCCCAGTTTAGCTACAGAGATTCGGCGTACGTTCCCCGCATCCCTGCGCATATCTGGAGCTTGCTAGGAGACACTCCTTATCGCTCCAACTGTATTCTCGTGGACTGTTTGCATCACATCCTTTTGCTTGTTTGTTTAATTATGCTGTGACACTGTTGGTATCCATTAGTAACTAGAAGGCTCAACCCAAATGGCCTTTCTGGCCACTGAATCCCCGTGCACTAGCGCCATCTCTCGTTCGTTCTACCTTCGACACCTAGTCTCTGACTCATTTCCACTTTATCCTAGCCGGCTTCTATTAGGCTCTGCTTCCTATCTTTATATACCCACGTACGTGACATTTATGCGGTGCCCTTCGATAATTCTCCTCCCTGAAGCGGAGTCTACGTGCTGACAAGGAAGCCTGGTGGACCAGTCGGGCTTAAGAAATGGAGGAGGCAAGAGCAGTATGCAATTACCGCAAGCTCTTCCAGCTAATACGCACCACTGGTCCCAGAAAACCAGGCGTCAGTGAGACAATCAGAGACAGCGCGGGTGCGCTGATACACAAGAAGCAGCGCCGTATGGCTCGTTGGGCTGAGCACTTTGAATATCAGTTCAGCTGGCCCCTTGCTCCCGGACCTCTTCCTACTCAGGTGATGCAGGACGAGCCATGGACGGTTAGTTTAGAGCCTCCGTCGGAGGCCGAAGTCCGAAACGCGATCACAGCCCTTAATCGTTTTCGTGCCGCTGGCCCGGATTCCCTCCCACCTGCACTATTTAAAGATGGAGGTGAGGTCCTCTGCAAAGCACTGACCTCCCTATTCGAACGTATTTGGAACGAAGAGAGTGTGCCGGCTAATTGGAGCGAATCGATTATAGTGGCAATATACAAGAAGGGCAGTCGCACAGACTGTGCGAACCACAGGGGTATTAGCCTAACGCCAGTTGTGACAAAATTACTGGCATCGATTATCGTTCGTCGCCTCACTGCAGAACGGGAATCTCGGATTAGTGAAGAGCAGGCCGGTTTTCGCCCAGGACGTGGCTGTATAGACCATATATTCACTTTGCGGCAGGTGGTAGAGCAGCGCCAGGCATACCGCAGACCGACAATAGCTGTCTTCCTCGATTTCAAGAGTGCGTTCGATTCAGTCGATCGATCGATTCTGTTCGAAATACTTGCGCGGAAAGGTGCTCCCACGAAATATCTGAACATCCTTCGTGCTCTATACTCGAACAATAGAGGCCGCGTCAGGGTCTATGGTGCCCTATCGGATAGCTTTCCGACTACGAGTGGCGTTCGACAGGGTTGCCCGATTTCCCCGTTTTTGTTCAATTTCGTCGTGGATTCTATCATTGTGTGTTCCCTTGCGGAATCTCACGATGTAGGTGTTGAAGTGCTCCTTGGTGAACGGTTAGTTGATCTAGATTATGCGGACGATATCGTCTTGCTTTTCGACAATGTTGAGGAGGCACAATCAACCCTGAATAGCCTATCCAGAGTGGTCCCATTATTTGGTATGCACTTCGCACCTTCAAAGTGCAAAGTGTTGCTGCAGGACCACCAGCCACTCGATGACCCCTTGACGCTTGCTAACGAGGAACTCGAGGTGGTTGATCAATTCACTTATCTTGGCAGCTGCATCAGCAATGATGGGCGCATAGAAACTGACGTGAGCTCCCACATTGCAAAGGCCAGAGCTGCCTTCTTGAACCTACGTCATCTTTGGCGACAGAAGGGAGTTTTCCTCCGTCTGAAAGGCCGTGTATACAAGGCCACAGTGAGGGCCGTTCTGTTCTATGGTAGTGAGACTTGGCCCCTTCGGTCTGAAGATCTGAGGCGCCTTCAAGTCTTTGATCATCGTTGTTTGCGAAGCATTGCTGGTGTCGGATGGCACCAGCGTGTCCGCAGCGATGATGTGCGTAGGCGAGTACTAGGGGGTGATGATCACGCTAGCTCCCTAGAACAACAGATAGCACTGAATAAGGTACGTTGGCTCGGGCACGTGCTACGCATGCCTGGTCACCGCTTACCCAGGAGGGCCTTGTTCAGTCTACCAGGTGTAGGATGGCGCAAGGCTCGAGGTGGACAGAAGTTGACTTGGCAGCGGGAAATGAAGTCACTGACGACCAAACTGGGTGCCGTTGGTCCGTCTCGCCTTCCGGGTTGGAGTCCACGTGACTCACCTTGTGCTTGACTCGAGACTTTACAGGACATGGCTCGCAACCGACACCAGTGGCGCGTCTGCTGCCGTCTCCTAATCGGATTGTCTGTTTAAAGTGTGTTTGGTGCTGAGTTATCTGCGGGGTAATGGCTGATTATGACGCGTGGCAGTGAAAGCCGCAAGGAAGCTGTCTCGCCGATTCCGCCTTATTTTTGCACGATAGCCAGCTGTTTGTGACGGAATGTTGTCTACACAAGGTGTAGGCGCCTTGACCCTGAATGTTTGCTTAGGGCATTAAGGTTTTCAGGTAAGTCACCCTTCTCTCCCTCTTCTTATTCTTTATTTCCTAGGTCCTCATGGTTGTATGGCAGCGAAGCATCAGTTCAAATGGCTGATGTACTGCTGTTGATGATGATGACTGAAGTATATCTAAATCTCGCCAAATTGTCACTGTATCCCCTGGTTTCCGACTGCAATCAATGGATATTACATAACCACCTTCTGGTCTCCGGTTGACATTCTGCAATTTAGCTAGTACCCAAGTCGTATCAGAGATAGGCTCAAAACAATATTTCCGCTACGAAACAATTTTCTTTATTAATACCACCATTATGGTCATCATTTACACATCGCAGCATCCTTAATAATGCATTTACATCATGTCAGTCAGATTTCCTGGCAGAAGTGCTCGACCTTCCTTTCTCTCTTCCCAGTCATCTAAATGATGGAAGGATTGACAGCGATGATTCTCTACGAGTCAGTCTACTGGCCCTGCAGTATTCATGTCTACTCGATAGAGACGCCGTTATCCGGTGAGACTGCGCCAATCCACCCCTCTTCGTTGTAGCACACAAAATTGAGTGTAGCTGAGGTTGCCAAAGGCCTTCGTAATTTAGATCCGAACTCCTCGCCGGGTCCTGATAGCCTGCACCCGCTGTTTCTCAAGACCGTGGCTGACTACATTGCTGCTCTCGTCTGTCAGATATCTCGTCACGCCCTGGAGGCTGGACGACTCCCGGTTGATTGGAAATTGGGGACCGTTAAGCCTAAATACAAGGGAGGGGGTCGTCAAAATCCTGCAAGCTATCGACCTATCTGCCTAACATCTGTACTGTGCAAGTTAATGGAAAGGATTCCCAAGCGCGCCCTGCAGCTTCGCTTCGAGAACCTAAACATCATCTCTTGTGATCAGCATGGCTTTCGGCGGGTATGCTCGTGTACCTCGAACCTGTTTGTTGCCAGGGAGAGGTCATTAGGTGCTGGGGAAGGCCTGGAGGTGGTTTTTGCAGATTTCGGCAAGGCGTTTGACAAGGTCCCCATGAAAGGCTCCTTTTTAAACTCTTAGGTGCCGGTGTCTCTGAGAATGTCCTTTCTTGGATCGCTGATTTTTTGGATGACCGGACCATGCGAGTCAAGGTGAATGAAGCCTACTTCGCTCCTGTGCTCACGAATAGCGATGTTCCGCAAGGATCGGTACTTGGTCTAGAACTGTTCAAGATATTCATCAATGACCTCCTATCGGAGCTTCAGATGGATTGCCTGATTTACGCCGATGATATGAAGCTGTGGATGGAGGTATCCTGTCTCGTGGATGCTGACAGATTGCAAGCACCATTGGATATGCTATACGACTGGTCAGTCAACTGACAATTACACGTAATTCGTGAGAAATGCTCAGTTTTTCCCATAGGCGCCCTTGAACCGTTCGGGATATACCATATTAGTGGGATGTTACTCAGAACCCGCATTCTTGAGAAAGATCTCGATGTGGTTGTCTCACTGATTTACGGACCACAGAAGACACTACGGAGAGTTGTCGCTGCCAACAGGATGTCACATGCCATACGGAGAGCCTTCCCATGACTGACTCCGGAAATCTTCAGAATCCTGTTTACTTCCCATGTGCGCCCGATCCTTGAATACAGACTACCTGCCACCTGTTCTCTTGCCAAGTTCGAGTGTACTATGATTGAGAAGGTCCAGCGGCGTGCTTCGAAATCCATACTGGAGTTAAGGGAATTGCCTTACCCTCTTCGACTACAGCGGATGCATCTGTTCGCCATGGAATATTGTCGACGTAGAGGTGATCTGAATTTTACTAGGCGGATTCTGAGGGGGGAGATGGGGATGGAGCTACAAGCGTTCTTACAAGTTAACACTAATAGTTCCACTCGGGGGCAAAAGTAGACTATTTAAACCCAGAACACTCAGAGTTCGTTGTACTATCGCTCTATCAACCCGCATTGTAAATGACTGGAAGGACTTGCCGAAACATGTTGTTGACGCGCAGACTGAGGAATGTTTTAAGCCACTTTTGAATTCCCACATGATGAGTAAGCTGGAACCTTGCTTCTTTCAATGTAGCTGTTATGGCCCCTTGTGGAATACCGTCTCGTAGCGACTCACGACATCCACGCAATGATCAGGAAGTAAAGGAGCTGACAAAGGACTTTCTTCCTGCTCTCTACAATCCAATGATCCACCTTCCCCGTGGATCAACCGCCTGGATATGGACACACAGGCCTCCAACACATCAATAGTTCCTAAACCTTCTCAACCTGCAGAATGCTCCTGCTCCATTCCCATGAACGTAGAACATCTTCCACAGTTCAAGTGAAACTGGAACGATAGGAGAATCCCGTGAGTGTTCCATCTAGAGTGGGTCGTTGAGCCAGAAATTGATGAAGCGCTCAAAGTTACTGACAGATCTAAAACGGGACACCCGTATTGTGCCCACGTTTCCTGCCTTAGCAGTCCCTGCTGTAGCAGTCACGTGAAGTAAGCAAAGGATAGGAAGAGAAATCGAAGGTACAGAATAAGGAGGTGCACTTGAAATAAGAAAATAATACCAATGCGTGAAGAAAAGAAAATCGAAGTATGAAGATGCGAGTTAATCAGGAAAACGTTTCGTGTTGCCACCTAAGAGTGTCAAGTTGCCGCTCAAACCATTTAACCGTAGATTCCCTGATAACACTTTCCGGAAGCATCTTCCGGCGCTCGATGACTCGGATTGACAGCCGGATTTCCGCCCTAATCCGATCGGGCCGCGGCTTGTCCAGCTTCAAGGAATGACCGCGTAGAACAGACAATCTAGCGGGACTGAATAGCCAAGATAAATCTGGACCAACCTTCCCAGTTAAGATACGGTAGGTTAGGATTAGGTCTCCTCTAAACGTTCGGTAGTGCATCGAATGCATTATCAAAGTAAGTAGACGCTCGGGGAACGTTCGTTCCCGTAATCCCTCAACTAACTTAATACCCACTAGTAAAACCCTCTCTAGCTCCATTTTGTCCCGGACGAGGCAGGGCGGACAGGCCTGGACGCAGTATTCCAGATGAGGCCGAACGAAAGCCGAGAACAATCTAGTAAGGATGCCGCCCATCAAGACTCCGAAAGAACGTCGCATTAATTACAACATGCGGAAACCTCTGCTTGCGACCTTCTTCCAGTTGTCGCCGGAGTGTACAGCCCAAGAGTGTACGACGCCTAGATCAACCTGGCAAGATACATGGGGGAGTTCGACCCCACCGACAAAGTACTACGCAGGAGGACAAACTCCTCCAATTCGAAGAACGGAGCAATTTGCCTGATTTATGAGCGGTAATCATAAAGTAGACCAGTCCCAAAGCTTATCTAAGGCTCGCTGAATAACTTAAGAACCCCCGGAACATCGACAATGTTCCACAGCTTCAGGTCACCAGCAAATAGCAGCGATCCAAGGACCGAGCGCTGCGGCACACCACTGAGCACAGGCTGCCTAAACCGTAGGCCGCGGCCTACCCGTACACACTGTTCTCTACCATCCAAGGAGGCAGTCACCCAATGAAGGGCGTGGCCAGATACCCTGTAGGAGGTCAGCTTTTACGCGAGGCTCAAATGGGGTACCATGTCAAATGCCTTCGAAAAGCATGTCCAGTGCGTGGCCTTATCCACCGCATCCGCCCAACTTTCGTGAGCCACCAGTAGATTTGTCAGGCACGAAAATCCCTTCCGGAATCCGTGTTGTACATCGCCAAGTAGATTAAATCTACTAAGATGACCCACCAATGAATCTCTCATCAGTTTCTCGAGGAGTCTGACTACTACACTTGTTAGACTAACTGGCCTGTAATTTGCGGGCAGACTCCTGTCCCCATTTTTGAAGATGGGACAGATGACAGCTTCCTTTCATTCGGAAAGTAATGCACAGCTGTCAAGCGATTTCTGAAACACAATAGCGGGCGGTCCACTTAGTTCCGCAGCCAACTCATGCAACAGTTTCGGGTGAATTAAATCAGGCCCAGAGGCCTTAGAAGGGTTAAGCCCTTGCAACAGCCTGCAAACTTCCGTCTCCGCCACAATAAATTCAGATAGTTCTGAACCCTCTGGGATTCTACAAACCATGTAGTGACCTGGAGATTGTACTGTTTGTCTGTGTAAAATATTATTAAAATATATCATTCTGTATATAGACAACTTAGAAAGCTTACCTGTCCGCACGATGAGTACGTGTGTCTGAGTTATCCGGACGAATCGCATTCGTGCGCTTCTGGATTTTCCGCCTCGAAGAGCGTTTACTGCGTCTCGGTTGGCGACTAAACCTATCCCCTAGCTAGAACCATTTTGTGGTAACTTCAGCTAGCGGGATTGTGCGTTTCGACAATAAACGTCCATCTAGCCCATATATCCGTCTTTTCCTTAAGGCGGGACGAACCTGACATATAGCGACCGAATGATTCCGCTATAACCAGCTCAACGCCTGTCAAAGAGAGTTCCCTTACAAACACTGCTGCATATTGCCCACTAAGTACGCAGGCCTTGTCATAGCCCGTATGCGCATGAGTATTGTCATCACGCATCAATACTGGAATTGACATGTTCGAACCGCAGCGCCTTTTGACATATGCGAAGAACCTTTTTGGATTCTCTGAAGCTTCGTCTGCTAACCCTTTCTCGAAATTGAGCCGAGCATTCCTTAGGTGTTGCTTACACCTATTTCTAGCCTTACGGTACCTGTCATAATTATCGGTGGACGGAGTAGATGCCTGCCAGTGAAATCTATCCAGGGCGGCTGTGCTCGTGTCTCCTTTCTCCTTGTGACTGGGATGAAGGGAGCAGAGACCTCTGTGAGGTAGGACTTAAATTTATACCAGGAAACCTGGACAGTATCATCGCCTGAGATCTCATAATGGTAACACGAAGCATTGGCTCTCATTGACTGATAGTCTGCGTGCCATATGTTCGGGAGAGAATCAACAGTACTCTGGTAGCGTTTAGAGAGAGTACAACTGAAGAGCAAACAAACATGATCACTGGAACCCAGTAAAGGTCCGTAAGTAATGTCACCAACAAAATCGAGTGAATTAGCAAACCCAAGGTCTAAGATAGACGGTACGTGGGCGTCCATGTACCTAGTGGGGAGGATAATGAACTGATGCAACGGTACTTGGAGCGCCGAATGTGACTGGTGTTGAGTCGCAAGAAAGATCTGCCCAGTAAACCTCCGGGAGGTTGAAGTCCCCCATTACCAAACACTTATTTGCGGACTGGGAGCGAATAAAGTCAAGTACCTTTTTGGATACCCACCCAGGGCTTCCATACACAATTACAACTGCAACTTGAGCCGAGGATGTGCTAATCACAGCCGACAGAGCTTCAACAGTTTTGTCTGCCGATTGAAAAAAGCAAGTCTTCAAAACGACAAGTTTACAGTTCACACAAAGAGCGACCCCTTCTCCTTGCCGGATAGCGGAGCAATCGCATCTAAATAGTGCGTAGCCAGATAGATGTACTTCACCATCCGTGATGTCCTGGGGCAGCCACGTTTCAGTGAATTCGAGTATATCGGGATGACACCGATCTACAAGCAGACCTAACTCGTACATCTTATTCCTTACGCTGTGCACATTACTTAGCACTATCTGAAGGTATTCGTTGGGTCCAGACCTGGGTTGTGCGCTACCAGAATGGGTAGTGTTAGGGCGGAAAAGGACCGCCGCCTGACCACCCGAAAACCCACTAACCGGAGACCTTGTTCACCGGCCGCTCGCCTGCTTTAGAGGTCTTTGATGGCTAACCTTAGCTTCAGCCTATCAGTCAGCGGTCCGGCTGAACACTAATCTTTGTACTTTTTAGCTTAAAAGCAAATCGCATGAGAGCGTTGCGTCTCTCCGGAGTAGAGTACAACATGAAGTAGCCGCGGTCGAGGGTTTGGTAGACTAACTGGGACGTTCCCCAGTCTAATTAGCTTTATGACTAACGCCTAGAAAACCAGGCAGAAGCTTCGTCATACACAGTTAAAACCATTGAAGGTCGTCCAAAATGCGATCAGCAGTGCATACAGCCGCGTTACGAAATGTAACGCTACGATCCGTGAAAGAATCACCATGACGAGGTGTATTAACCCCACGGGTCATTGATACAATCCTTGGAGCAGGTGGCTTCACCACTGGTGATGGGACTGTATTTATCCCCTCAGTAGCGCTGCGCTCAATCACCCAAGGGTGGATCCTAACTAAACCACTCTGTCAGCCAACGAAACATATGATGCAGGTCAGGTCAGGTCAAGTACAACGGACGATAGAGGTGTTCGCCTAACGAGAGTCCAGTTTCTTGTGCCGGTAAGTGAATCAGCCCCTGGCACTTCAACGTTGGATTGACTCTTCTT